TAAAGCACTTTAAATGATATAAGAAGGATACGGTTGATGGAATATTTGCATTTGTCTTTGTAGAGGCAGAACCGATAATGCCGATTCATCCATGGTTGCAATTTGTCATCATCGAAACTCAAGATCGTATGTTGTATGACGGTTTGCCCTCACAAACATGTGAATCATGGATATAACAATATCAAACATATAGGTCATGGATATAACAATATCAAACAAAGGTTCAAATCAACATGTGAATCATGGATATAAAAAAACAATATCAAACAAAAGTACAAATCAACATGAGAATCATGGATATAACAATATCAAACATGCATGAATAAAGTCAAAAGATATACCTATCATCATATGGACAAAGAATATGGATGAAAAGTTCAAGTATGAATAATTAGAGTAAGCATGAACTATGGTCAAGATTGTGACATGGTTTAGGGTTGACATTAACAACACTTAACAACGAAATCAAGTTAAGATTTCAAACAATCATGGACAAGTTTGAGATACCACTTAATAATGAAAATAAGCAAAATATTACTTAATAACGAAAACTAGCTATACATGGTTCAAGACATAAGAGTAACAACCAAGGGTTCATGTCAAGGGTTTATTGTGATTACAACAAGTCTAAGCATTTCAAATGGTTTGAATATAATGAACATAAAGTCAAACAAAGACATGATATCAAAGCTTTAAACAATATGCACATGTTATCGAAGATATAACAATCATGTATCAAATGTTCATAAAAAGTTCAATGTGGTAGGAAAAAGTAAGCAAGTGTATCTACATCACACATTAAAACTGATTAAAAATAATATATTTTTTGGAATTTTTTCACATATTCATAAAATAGGCATCATTATTAGCACGTGAGCAAAAAAATTGGCTAAAAATAAGTTGATTTTCTATGGGAAATAATTGAGAGAAAATGAGGAAAAAAACAAGTTATAAAAATAAAGGGGGAAATTGCTAAGGGGAACAGAACCCCTGACCTAAGGGTGACAGACTAAAATCCTAACCACCAGGCCACTGCTCGCGTGGTGACTAAAGGGTGCGTGCAAAACAATATATTATGATTGAAACATGAAAATGTTAAAAAAAAATAAAAGCATAAAAGGTCTAGGGCGAGGGGGATTCAAACCCCAGACCTAAGCCTCACACACAAACACACTTACCACCATGGCGCAATGCCCAAGTATTCCCTAAACACAAACAAAATAACAAATAATAAAACTGCAATTAAAATGAAGAAAATGACGCCACCACCATCGTCTTCAACCTTTGTCCTCTTCCTCTATTTTTTCAAATTTTTGAATTCCTATCTCCCTCGTTTCTCAACCAAATGCAAATATGTAAAAACCAAACTTACTTGAAATTTCATGAACAATCTAATGGCACACTTTAATTAAACTAAAAATCAAAGAATAAATCATTATATCATTAAAACTAAAATGATCCCTAACTGTTCAGAGAGGCAAAACTTCACCTACACACATGATACATTGCAATTGACTTAAGGTACACCATCTGCACATCAAATACTACATCTTTGCTTCAGAAATTAAATATAAATGACGCGTGTATGAGTGAGTTCAAAGTTGAAAAATCTTACCTGTTGGAGCAAGGTCCAATGCCTCTTCAAGTGGTTATAGAAGCAAGATAATGATCCTATGAGCTCCCTTGATCCTCCAGAAAGCTAATGACACCTTTAGTTTTCCTTAAAACACTCTGAAGCTTTCTATCCAAATCAACTTGCAATTTGATCAAGTGAGGTTGTGATTTTTGGTTAGAAGTGTTACAGGTGGTTGATGATGGTTTGGGACACTTCTAAGAGGTATTTGGAACGTGTTTGAGTGGTTGAATAATGTGGAAAACCTCTTGTTTGTGAAACACGATTTTCACTTTGAGTGAGGTTTGAAAATGGTGAAAATGGTGTGATTATGATGCAGAGGTGTTTGCTATGCTTTAAGGTGTTTTTTCTATGTGTTTTGGACTGAAGAAGTGCTTTCTATTTATAGGGAAAGGTTGAGGGATTGAGGGTTATGCAGAATCCAAGTTTGAAGCAATTAGTTTGGTTGGATTCAAAGTGGTAGTTCCACGGATTCTTGTGGTTTCAAGGCATAATACAATGCCTTTATAGAATGGTTGAATCCTACATAGGTGTTGCTTCTACGCCAAGAAGATTTTATGTGTAGAAGGAACAATGTGGAGGCTCAAGACTAGTTTACTTCTTTATTAAAGTTACTTTATGCAAATGACATTGTGAACTTTCTTGCAAAACAATCCATAAATGGAATTACAACTTGATTAATGGCTCAAATCTTTGGATAATGCATCACAAAATTATGTAAAATTCTGATTATAGGGATATTTACAAGTAATGTGGTTTGCAAAGCAAGATTGCATAGCTTTGGCTAGGGTTTGCAATAAGAACTTGCCATGAACATGAACCAAAATTCAAGTTTTGAAGGTAACTTCATCTCTTCGAAACTCCTAGATCAAATATGACAAAATTGTGATCTTGGACTTTTGGAAAGTTTAAAACATCCTTTAAAACTTTCATGTTGACAACGTTTCTTGAATCAAAAGGGATCATAGTGAAAAATGACCAACAAGTGAGTCACTTTTAGGGGTCAGAATTGCTTGTAGATTTTCTCTAAGTGTTTTAGATGAAAACCCTAACTTCATGGCTTCATAACTTTTAATCCTTACATTTTTGGAGACAGTCACCCAGGACAAAGTTGTTGTATGATGCAAGATCTTTAATTTGGCCTTTGGACCAAGAAAAATGGTTGCTTGGATTGAAAGTTATAAGCTTGGGAAGTTGACTACTTGAACATGGTATTCTTGGCACTTAGAAAAAATTTCAATTTCTTCATTGTTACACTTTTTGCAAGTAACCTCACATTTCTTGATTTATTTTGATCAAATTCACTCATCAAACACATTTTTATGAAATTCACCTTGAGGAGACCATGTTGGACCAAAAAAGTCAAAAGTCAAACTTGACTTTGATTAGCGGTTGACTTTTGTATCAGATGAAATTCAAATTGCATACTTCAATGAAATCAAATTCTTGAGCTATTTGAACACTATGGATGGACTCCAAAGGTGTCTTTAAGTTTCTTGAATCATGCCCCAAGGCTTGAGGTCATGTCTTGGTCAAAAGTCAAAGGTGTAGTTGACTTTGGCTCAAAACCCTAATTTGTAGACCAAATGAATTTGAAACTTGATAAACTTGTAATGAGGCCACAATACACTTGATTGTTGATGTAGGAAAACTCTTGATCATGAGAACTTGATATATTGATGATCAATCCAAGACTTCGACTGATCAACCAATAATCTCCTTGGTGCAAACCCTAATTCACAAATGAAGCAAAGCAAGACAATATTTTGATAATTTTTAGGGTTAGTTATGCATGAATGACACACCTAAAATGTGTTTGATGCTATGCAAATGATGATGGAATATAGGGGTAAAATTTGGGGTATGAAACTTAGAAATACAGAGACTTGGACATTTATAAGTGAGAGAATTCACAGACCTATTGACTTAAGGTTTTTGGTGAATTTGTGGTGTGCATGTCTCTCACAAGGTGTGTTGCTCTTAAAGAAAAGCCCCAAAATATAAAAAAAATGCTCCCTCGTGTTGGCCCCCTGATTTGATAGACCTAACAAGTGGTATCAGTGCCTAGTTCGAGTGAAGTGACAACCTTACTTGTATCAAAATTTTGTACTGGGTAGGAGGTGACCTGTTGAAAAGTGTCAACGAAAGTAAAAGTGTAAAGAGCTTCCGCTTGAGGGGAGCATTGTGGATAGACTCACACTTGAGGGGGAGTGTTAAGAATAACAAGTGTGAGTAGTATAGAAAAGTCTCACATTGATTAGAAATATGGAGACTTAAGCATTTATAAGTGGGAGAATCCACACACCTATCACATTAAAGTATTGGGTGAGTATGTGGTGTGTCTCTCACAAGGTGTGTTGCTCAAAAAGAAAAACTCCTAAGAAAGAAAATTCTCCCTCATGTCGAACTCCCGAATTAACGTTCCAACAAAGAGGCCACCCGATTCAAAAAATTCTTGAGACAAAGCTATACTTTGGCTTCACCAACCTAAGTTTCAGGGGCTATTATTTTGGTTTGGGCTATCATGTCCTAAAGATACATCATATTAGAAACACTAAATTATCATGGATTATCAAATACGAAGAGTTATACAATCAACTGACATTTGTCTCATAAGACAGGGTCCTTGAAGAAAGCTCTAGGGTCTTTAACCCTAAAAACCCATTATAAAGGATAATGAACAATTCAGTCTCAAGTACACACTATCTTAAATTTTAAACTTCACATTTACGACTGTTGTTGACTTGATTATCGGTGTTTGAAGATACACCCTCTATCACAAAAAAATCACAAAAGCTCCCATATCAAAGTTGAATCAACAATATTTGAAGAAAAAATTGTTGACTTGATATAGGATCAGCTCATAATAAAAATAAACATTTTTTTAATAAAAATTAAAATACCAAATTATCCATTATCCGTGTATAATCAAAATACTATATACCAATATTTCTAGACAAAAGCCCTATGCAACATCGATACTTCTGTGTATCATTTAGAAAAAAAAAACGGAAGGACATGCTTTGTAATCATTTTATATATATATATATATATATATATATATATATATATATATATATATATATATATATATATATATATATATATATATATATATATATATATATATATATATATATATATATATATTTTAACATCATATATTTATACTAATTTTATATAGAAACTCTATTAAATTAGGGGTATAATGTTATTCAATTGATGAAAAGGTAAAATAATAGACTATGATAAAATAAAATAATAATAAAAAGTAAAATATCACCTTTTGATCCTATTATATTCCAATATTCACAATTACAAATTAAATTCTGGATCTTTAAAACTTCCCATGCTTCCGTCCAGGGAATTAAATTTTAAGCATGTAGGAATTTGGCCACCACAAATCTTGTTGTGATTCCGTTACATATTTCCTCATGTTACCAACCGTCAATTCATAACGTCCGTCATCTCTCACGTAAACCTTCTCCACGCCACCGGAAACAAATCCAACGCTCTTTCCGATGCCGGGCGCCCATTCTCCGATGATCGCCGGTATCCTACGCCGAACCCTCGTGTCCCATATACTCAATGCCAGATTCCTCGACGCGTTTGCCACCGCTGAATCCATAATCTCTGACGACGCCGCATTCAGCTTCTCCTCAGCGCCGTAAGCCGCCACGATACCTCCGTCGTAAGATGAATCACAATCGTCTAATCCAAACCCTAACCCAAACCCTAGGGAATCCCAAAGCTTCACAACGCTTTTACTATTCGTAATCTCCGAAAGCGAGAACATATCACCAATGCTACGACAACTACTTAGAAATCCGCCGTCACCGTCGTCGGAGCTTCTATATCGGAAACACTCACTGGTTCTATTTTCTTCTTCCATCTCTTCTTCGTCCTCGTCTTCAGACTCCGATGGCGTGGACGATAATGAGCAAGTGTCATCGTCATCGTCACCGTCAACGGTGTAATCATATTCGGCAACAAAAGGGGAGATAGAAGGAGTTTTCTTGCGAAATTTGAGGATGAAAATGGTATGAAAAGTGGCTAGGGCGAGAAAAATAGCACATAATTTGCAGAGATTGAGAAGTATGGAAGAAGATTGAGGGAGAAGAAAATTGAGAAGATGATTAATTTTGTGTGTTACAGGAACTTGAATCATTTTCTGTTGCAAAATTAGAAAAGAAAAAGTGATGATAAGGATAAGTAGTAATGTGTAGAAATGTATTATTGGCTATATATATATAAAGGGGGAATATTCGGAAAAGTTGTCTGTATGGATGGAATATGAAGTAGTAGTTTGTTTGAATCAACGTGGATGTGGGTGTGTTGTGGATAGGAATGATGAGCAGAGTCCGAAATATAAACTAGTTATTATGATTTGTTCAAGTTTTGAGATTTTCTTATAGGTGGTCCCCAACTATAGCCAACAAAATGGGCTGATCCGAAAACCCAGCAACAATGTTTGTTTTAATTTTAATATAATATACTTAATATTTTTTTAAAATACATTAATTTATATTATTATTAAAATAAAAATTAATTACAAATGTGATATACTCTTATATGAAATGTATGATATTTGTCCACGTTTGCCTTGTGGCTCATGTTGACAACTTGCATTGAATGTCTATCTTTCAACATTTTGAAAACGTGTACCGTCTGTACCAAAGTAAAATTCAAAACGTGTATATATTAAAAACGGAGTGTTTCATGGAAATTTCATTATATCGGTTTGACTATTATTTGATTTATCTACTTTGTACAAAGTAACTCATCAAAAATGAAATAGTGTCTTGTTGTTATTTATGTACATATTAATCGATTTTTCTCTTTCTAATTATTTTAGAAATGTTGTGACATAAATTCAAAGTTAATTAAGTTTTTGGGTTTGTTATTTAGTATATAAATTAGTTGTATATAAATAGATATATTTTTTAATTCAGTTTGTACATTCATAATTTAATAATATTAATTTTTATTTTCTTTTTTTCTTCATTAAAAATGTCTCACACTCTAACAAATTGGTATCTAAAATTTTGGTTAGATTCTTGATTGTGTTTTTAAGAATCACACGTCGTTGATCGTAATTTCGAAATCGTAGGTTGTTAATTAATCGCTGCAAAGATGAATGATACTAATGTCATTTAGAATTTCCTTCCACTTCTTGACGGCAAAAATTGGAACCAATATAGCAAACAGATGAAGTCTTTGTTCGACTTTCATGAAGCCTAGAAGTGGTTACTAATGGCGTCCCTAAGCTTGCTGAGAATGGAACCAGTACTCAGAGAGTCGTGAGCAAGGAGACAAAGAAGAAAGACGCAAGACCACATATTGCATTCAATCGGCGATAGATTTGACGAGTTTCGACAAGACCTCACATGCTGAATCGGCGAAGGAGGCATGAGATATTCTTGTCAAGTATTATGAAGGAGGTGAGAAAGTCAAAGTCGTCAAATTGCAGACTTTGCGACAATAATATGATTTGCTGCAGATGGGAGAAGATGAAAAGAGTACAGACTATGTGTCGAAGGTGCAGAACCTCGTCCATCTCATGAAGAGTTGTGGTGAAACTCTAACTGATAAGATGGTAGTTGAGAAGGTAATACGTATGTTGACCTCTCTCTTTGATCACGTTATCATAACTATTCAAGAATCCAACAATCTTGAAACTCTAAAACTAGAAGATTTGGTTGGTTTGTTAGAGGCGCATGGGATTAAGATTGTCGAAAGGAAAAGGGGTTCAAGATTCGATACAAGTACTGCATGCTCAGGCTTGGAAGAAGCATGGGGTTCCGGCAAGTTCAAACGCAAATGAGATAAGACTCAGAGCAAGAATTCTTGGTCGAACCCTCAAAAGTATAAGGTCAATGATAGGGCATCTAAATCTTCGAAAAGAGGTGTGCAATGTTATAATTATGAAAAATGGGGTTACTTGGGTAAGAATTGTTGGTAAAATAAAGACAAGGGAGCGAAAAAGGTAAGGAGGAAGAAGAGAACCTTGCACACCAAGATTCAGATGATTTTGAAGATATGGTGGTTATGGCTGCAGTTGCTCATGACCGTGTCGATTCTAAGATATGGTTTCTCAACTCGGGTTGCTCGAATCACATGACTGATGGAAAATGTGGTTAGCATATTTTGACTGGTCAAAGAAGAGCAAAGTCATACTTGCTGATAATAGCTCATTGCAAGCAGAAGGTACTTGTTCCATAGTAATTCAAAGGAGAAATGAAGGAAAAGTTATGATCAAAGATGTACTCTATGTATCTGGAATGAAGTGAAATCTACTAAGTCTTGGACAACTGGTCTAAAAAGGTTTCTTAGTGGTTATGAAAGATGAAGCCTTAGAACTGTTCGACACTCAAAATTATTTGGTCTTGAAATCTCCTTTGTTAAAGAATAACATATTTAAGACCACGATCAGGTTGACTGAAGTACAACGTCTAAAAACTGTTATAGACCACACACATAGTTGGTTGTGGCATTTGAGGTTTGAACATTCTAACCTTCAATCACTCCATTAACTGATTACTCAAGATATGGTAATTGGTATACCAAGTCTTGAGATGCTCGAAAAACTTTGTGAAGGTTGCTTAGTTGGAAAGAAATCCTGAAAGTCTTTTGTTTTGTCTATGCTAGTGAAATCCTTTTGCATACTAGAAGTAGTACATTCAGATGTATGTGGTCCATTTAAGGACCATACCATTGATGGAAACATATATTTTGTCTCATTTTTCGATGAGTATATCCAAAAGCTTTGGGTCTATGTGATCAAGTGAAAGGACAAAGTATTTGCAGTTTTTAAGTGATTCAAAATACTTGTCGAAAAACCAAAGTGTAAAGAAGATAAAGGTTCTGTGTATAGATGGAGATGGCGAATATACATCAAAGATGTTTGAATAATTTAATGCAGAACATGGTATTGTTTATATGGTAACTGCTCCTTACATGGCTCAACATAATGCAATAGAAAAAAGAAGAAACTTGACCATATTGGACATGGTGAGATGCATGCTGAAGTAAATGAATTTGCCAAACTTCTTATGGGGTGAAGTTGTTTCCATTGTTGTTTATATTCTGAATAAATGCCCTACTAAGAAGCTTAAGAACAAGGTTCCTGAAGAAGTAAGGAGTAGAAAACGACCATCAGTGAGTCATCTGAGGGTGTTTTGCTCTATTTGTTACAAACATGTTCCTGATGCGGGAAGAAGGAAGCTTGAAGACAAGATTGAACCTTTGATTCTGGTAAGATATCACAAAACTATATCATACAAGTTATTCAATCCAATCAATGAGAAGATCGTGATGAGTTGATATATTTTTATTGATGAGAATTCTTCTTGGGATTGGAATTCAGGTGATGTAGCTAAGAAGCCATTGATAAGTTATGGCATTAATGAAGAAAGTAGTGAGCACGAAGAAATTCCAATTAATGACACGTTAGCAACAATCAAAATCGAAGATGATAATAGAGTCGAAGTCAAAGTGGAAAATTGAGAGGGTGTAGCTAGCAAAGCCAAATAACTCAAAGAACCAGAGCACTCCCAACAAGGCTTCAAGAATGTGAAGTGGTTGGTGATGATGAAGTCACACCAGAAGGAGATTTGATTCATTTTGCTTTACTTGCATATGCTGGATCTATCTACTATGACAAGGAATTCAAAAATAAACAATAGATGGAATCTATGGTCCAAGAGTTACAAGCTATTGAAAGAAATAATACATGGGAGCTAGTCGAATTGCCAACACAAACAAAAGTTATCAAAATGAAGTGGTTGTTCAAGTTAAAGCATAATGTTGATGGGTCGATAGCAATACATAATGCAATATTAGTAGCTCAAGGATTTCTTCAGAGAGCAGGACTCAAATACTCTGAAGTATATCCACCAGTAGCAAGATTGGAGACTGTTTAATTGGTGGTAGCCTTGGCATGCAAGCAAGACTAGTCGATATTTCAGTTTGATGTGAAATCAACATTTTTGAGTGGTCCCTTAGACGAATAAGTCAATGTTACAAAACCTCTTGGGTTTGTGATACAGGAGGAAGCAAGGAAAGTGTATAAGTTGCACAAAGTGCTATATGGCCTCAAGCAGGCACCTAGGGCATGGAACAAAAATATCGACTCATACTTAGTCGAATTAGGATTCATCAAATACAAATATGAGTATGGTGTATATGCACAAGTTGTGGCACAAGATATAACAATCTTTTTCTTTTATGTCAATGACATGTTAGTAATTAGAAATAGCTTAAAGAACTTTTCGAATTTCAAAAAGCTGATGATGAGGGAATTTGAAATGTCGGATCTGGAAAACTTGTCTTATTTCATAGGCTTGGAATTTCAAATGTCGAAGCAAGGTATGATGCTACATCAAAGAAAGCATGTCAAAAAGATACTCAAGAGATTCATGATGGAATATTCGAATCCTGCATCCTCACCTATTGAACCAAATTTGAAGTTGAGGAAGCATGGAGAGGAAGACAAAGTCGATGTCACTTTGTTCAATTTTTCGGATCTCTAAGATATGTGTGCAACAATGGATCTAATATAGGTTTCTCAGTTGGATTAGTGAGCAGATACATGAGTGAACTAAGGTTGTCACACATGAAGGTTGCAAGAAGAGTCCTGAGATACTTAAAAGGATCGATAAACTATGGAATTCTATTTCGACAAGAATCTGAAAGCAAAGAAGCTATGGTTACTTGTTATTCAAATGATGACTGGTGTGGAGATAAGGAAGATCGAAGAAGCACAACTGGTTATTTATTTCAAGTATTTGGTTCCCTAATCTAATGGTTCTTGAGAAAACAACCTGTGGTAGAATTATCATCGTGTGAAGCTGAATATATAGCAGGATCATGTGTTGCGTGTGTCATACCCTATTTTTGTCCCTTGGCCATTTCATGCATTCATCTAATGCATAATTCTTTTTTTTTTAAAAGTCAAATTAAAAAGTAAGTATGTCAACTTTTGATCTTCATTATATTTAGAGGTCAATTTTCACTTCATTTTGCATCATTCCACTTATCCCATTTTATTTCAAAAAAAAAAGAAAAGAGATCAATAAGTCAATTTTGGATTTTTGTTTTCTATTTTAAAATTCATTAATCAATTTTCAAATTTAATTAAAGTGATTTTTTTTATTTCATTATTTTTAA